GTTTGACTCAGTGAGAATTGTTGTAGACTCTAACTTCCAGAGCTGTAAGATAATAATTATGTACTGCTTTAAGCTACTAGCAGCAACAGGAAACTAATACACAGTCTTAAATTGGCTGAAATAAGCTTCTCTTTTACTTAATAGGCCATGTTAAGCCCTCAGTGCTTTCTGAATTGCCACTTAGCATAAAAGGCAATCAATGCAGAGCTACAGAGTGAATGCTGAATGAAATAGTATACAGCCATTATAAAGATGTTTACAAAGAGTTAGTAAAACAGGAAAATGTTATTTGATATGGAAAGAATGTCAATTTGCATTTCAGTGACATCACAGTTATATTAAGTGGGCAAATATCAAATTATGCATATAAGAACTCCAAAAGAAAACAAATTAAAATAGTAAGAGTGATTGTTCCCTGCATGTTGGGACTGTAAATGACTCTTTTTTTCTTCTTTTTACATTTCTGCAAATTTTCTATAATGAAAAGGTATTGTTTTCATAATGCAAAAAAGTACATGAATTTTATTTAAAATTTAGATGTATAATATGGGATAAAAAAGCAATTTATACAATATTGGTGCATTCCATCTCTTTATGCACAAATAACTCTCATTTAATTGGTAATTCAGCCTGACCAGTGTAGCTCAGTGGTTGAGCATTGAGCCATGAACCAGAAGGTCATGGGTTGTAGGCTCGATCCCCAGTGTAGGGCATGCAGGAGGCATCTGATTAATTATTCTCGCTCATCATTGATGTTCCTATCTCTCTCTCCCTCTCCCTTCTTCTCTGAAATCAATAAAAATATTTTAAAAAATAATTGGTTATTCAAAGCCTTCAAATTCATAGATCTGTTATTTCACTTACTATGCAGTCATCATGAACCTGTATCTTGTTTTGCAAACCTGGGTCAGCTTGAATAATAGTAAAGTTATAATTATCACCTTCAGAAATCATCCACTGAGCAGGCCCTATGAGCTGCATGAGGACAGCAGGGTGTCAGAGGTAATGATTTACGTAGACACTAATAGTTGACTCAGTTGGAAGGAAAAAAGGCCAAGAGGGGAAAAGCTGGGAACCTGCAGAATGATTCTGCTTCACTTGAGTGTGGAAAGACCAGACAGTCTTCCCAGAGCTACGGCTCTTTGACGGGGAAGTCTTCCGCACCTCAGAGCCGTGGTCTCTTCTTTTGTGTTATGAGGGAAGAGGACCAAATTATCTCTATTTGTCCTTCTAGCTCTAAACATTCTATAAATATACGCATGTGTAAGTATTCATACAAACACATGGACATCTAGGCTCTGATTATAAAACAATAAGACTGATTAAAAAAGGCAAATGCCAGAAAAATGCTTTCACTATTCTATGGTCTCATTTTTTATTCATGCAGGGCTGCTGTGTAAAGTAGGTCTTTTGCACTGTGCAATTTTCCGCTCATACCGTCACCATCAGATATTTCACAGTATCTTCCTTTTTACGATGTCAGGAACTACCCTGCACAGTGTATTAAAAGGCTTTACCATCTGAGGGGTTACAGCAGCAGCCTGTTGTCTGGTTAGTTGCTGAAGCTTTACAGCTTGTCACTTGTCAGCTCTCTGAGGCATGCATTCATGACCTCGGGGAAGCTTTCTACTTCCTTCTGTGAAAATCCAGTACATTAACAACACTTAACAGCTTTCCAACTAAGTGCAGTTCCTGATAATTTCTCCATTCTTATGATTTTAAACAAGATGCTATTTCTAGAATACGTCATATGTAAATTTTTAGTGGGATCCTGAAGTGCCCTAGTATACTTTTTCCCCAGGAATATTAATGGGATACCTCTTATTTGAAAGAAACTTAAGTGATTTACTCCAAATCCTACAGAATTTAGAAGTCTGTAGGGTGCAATAAATCATGTGCATACTTTACTTTAATACAGAACAGAAAAATAAACGCAGGAGAAAGATACAATTATATTACAACGGACAGAATCTCAGAGGAGAAATAGATTATGTCCAGCTGTCCAGAAAGAAAGATGGTTCAGGGAAGCATACAGGGTACATGGCATTGGAGACTGTTCGCATCTTAAATTCAAGAACTGAGGTGGAAGTGGGGGGCTTTCTTGGTAGAGGAAACAGAATAAGCAATGCCTTGGTGGCAGGGAAAATTTGGGGTGTGCAAGGAGAAGAGCAAAGAGCGAAATCTGATGGCACTCTCAACTTGAAGTTGGGGAGCCATGGGTTACAGACTGAAAAGATGGGCAAGATCCAGTTCTCCAAGGCCTTAAATGCCAACCTAAAGAAGCTGCACTTGGTTCTACAGACAGTAGAGAGCCATATAGGGCTTCTGAGAAATTATTTAATTGTCTTTTCACTCACCTCTCTTTTTTAAAGGAAACAAAGGTAATTTTGACCCTGTACTTTAAAAAGAATTATAATTCCTTATTCAACAAGTGAACAAAATTCTAGGGAACCTTTCTGTTTATCAATCTATGAATTAGAAAATATTTAAACTTTACATGTTTGAAACTCTGAAGGGAAAGATTTCCTTTATTGCTCTAGTATTTATCTGGTGTTGGAAGAGCAGTGAGGCTATTAAGATGTTGGAATGAAAGCTGCACATAGAGGGGGCTCGGTAAGCTCACTCATCTGGAGGATAGAAGGTGACTTGGTCACCCCGACTTTGTCCTATGGGCTCCAGCCTTCCCAGTTCAGGCTTCTGGCCAACAAGGTTGGTTGTGGCCCTTTATAATCAGACCACGGTCCTTTACCTGAATGATCCAGGGCACAGGCTCCAAATCTATATTCCATGCATAGGAACACAACACTGATGCACCATGGTGCTACTTTTTGTGTTTGTACGAGTGTATGTGTGTGTGTGTGTGTGTGTGTGTGTGTGTGTGTGTGTGTGTATGTGTGCGCACGCACACACACACATACACATCTATACCCTATATAATAAAAGCCTAATAGGAAATTGTTCCCTTGACCGGGAGTTTGACCAGGAGTTTGACCAGGAGTTTGACTGCTTGCTATGATGTGCGCTGACCACCAGGGGGAAGCATGGAACATGGTGGGCATTGGCGACATGCTGCGACCTCTCATTGGCTACCTGGGGGCGGGGGTGATGGGGAAAGAGGTGCGGTGAGAATGTGGGGTGTCCACTGAGCTCACTCTCACTCCCCCTGCTATCCTCTCCCGGGATGTCAGGGCTTACGTGCCAGGGAAGCTCCTGTGGTCAGGTGCCAGGCACCAATGAGGAGCCCGCCCGGTACCCGCGTGGCCTCTTCTGGGTGAGCTGGGCCACAACTGCTGGGGCCTCAGGAGCTGGTCGGGATCCCCGTGGGTTCACACAGGAGCCAGTCTGCGAGGCTGACCAGGAGAGTGTGCGCTGCCTGCCCAACTTCCGTGCTGTGGCACTGGGTAGCCAAGAGGCCCATGCTGTGCCCCAGACCATAGCATCCAGCCGTGCTCACCACATCTCCGTGTGGGGACTCAGGCACTGTGACTCAGGTGGCAGGGGCGCGCGGGGGCTTGGGGGTCCAGGTGCTGCCCAGAGCCCAGAGGTTATCTGGGACTTGTGCTTCCACACCGGATGCTCATGCTTCAATCGCCAGCCAGGCCTAGGGACTACACCTGTGCATGAATTTCATGCACCGGGCCTCTAGTGTATGTATATAAAAGGCTAATATGCTAAGTGTCTGTCCAGGTAATGACATCACATAGCAATGCCCAGCTTCCTCTCCCTAGCAACTAGAAACTCCTTGCAGTTTCTTCAGTCCAAGAACATGACTTGCTTTATAGCCAGGTGGAAATATTTTACACTTTAACTAAATGTCTGTGAAGCATTTTCCTATGCCTCATCTAATTTTATCCTCACAGAGCAGAAGTCCTGGAGTAGGTAGATAGGAGACTTGGTCGAATCCTATTTTCTTTTCATTAGCCAGAAAACGTAGATTTAGAAAGCTTAGAAACTTGACCTGACTGAAAAGAAATAAGAAATGGTGGGCCTTGAAAATGACTTTAGGTTTTCTCACTGTGCAGAATATAGTCAAATACTGCTGCAGCTAAATATTTTACCCCTTGTTCTCCCTGAGTGATCTACAATAATAATCTGCTTTGTGTTGATATTTACTGCTGTGTTGCTGACAATTACATGAAAGAGAAGTTGGGGTGCTTCACTGGGCTGGAAAAAGCTTAGCTAAATCAGAAAGCAGGTCTAATTAAGCAAGTTCATTCTATATCTGTAAAAGGCTAGGTTGACTCATGCATGTGCGATATATATAAAGCTCTCGCTGGTGCCATTCGCATGTGTGTGTTTCGATCTGTCATTGTCAATCGTGAATTTGGTTGACACTTCTATTATGGAGAAAGGGCAAATAGCGATATTAAAATATTTCTTCTAATTAATTTCCTTTCAATGTGCACAAATTCGTGCACCAGACCACTAGTATAAATATAAAAATGTACATCATTATACAAAGTTGTGATGGCCCATACCATTATATTATTGTTATATCTGTTATAATATAAAGCTATTATTTTTCCGGAATAGTTTGTGAACATTTTGAGAGCAGGCCCACCCGATAGTAACTTGCATGCTACCAGAACTTAATTAGCATTTATTGATTAACTGACTTAAGAAAAGCTCTTTAGCCTCCAGCATATGCTGCATTTCCTTCTAGAATCAGGAGAAAAGCTGGTTAACATATTGGGCATAAAAGGACAAAAAAGTACGGTTTCCATTTTCCTTTAGATCTGTGAAAAGCAAGATAGGTTATTTCTTTAAAAACTCCTGAGATGAGATAACTGAACTCATCACATGAAAGCAATCAATCTATCAATATGTGTGTGAGAGAGAGAGAGAGAGAGAGAGAGAGAGAGAGAGAGAGAGAGAGAAATCAGCCAGCTCCCAACTGCAAAATGGAGAAATAATGTGCAAAATATTAAATACAGGTGATGTTAGCAAATGGAGAGAGTTTGTAAATTAGTATGGTTGTATGTGTAATACTTGCAACTTACCTCAATAAAGAAAATGCTGGCTGCTGATGTTGGATGGTGATACATGTAGACTGTCACAAGAATGGCTGCTGCTATAATGAGGACCAGGATGAGGATTCCAACAATGAGGCCAGCATGCAGGGCTCCCCCTTTCTTCTCGGCTGCACTGTCATCTGTGGAGGCTGAGAGAACAGCACAGCTGTCAGGACATTCAGGTGTGTACTCTTAAGTGTGAATTTTCATTAGAAGGAATATTTCGATTTTAAGTAAAGTACTGTTGGATATTTTTATTTTTCTTCCTGTGCAACTTTTCTTTTCCATAACACCCATTTTAGAAATTAGATGCTCTTTATTTGGGCAATAAAAAAATCCATACTATTAGTGATTAAACTTATATTTATAATTGTGTTATAATTTATAGTTCAATAAACAAGATCAATAGCCTTTGTTCTAAAAGTACTTCAGAAAATCTAAAACTCTAACTATATAATAACCTTAACTTTGATTTTTCTCATTAAACCACTGGCCCTTTTACCTATGGGAAAATTAATTACTTTTAGAAACCTCCTCTTTCATTTTCTTGTGGAAATTTTAAATTGAAGAGTATTAGACATGTTTTTTTGTGACTATACAGGCATTTTCAGAAAGTCTGCATAAGTTCAAAGGATAGTTTTCAAAATCTGTCTTAAACTGCAATGCTCTTTAAAAGTATAACAGATGGAAGCTAAATGACCCTCAAATAGTTTTATCACTATCCAAAGGGAACACACAGCATATAAAAATATCCTACTATGCCACAGAGCAATACAAATTTCTCCAACTCTTACTGAGATGCTTTCCACCATAATACTCATTTTCAGAGAGGTATTTCTGAATTTCTAAAGTAATAACTTTCCAACTTAAAGTCAATCAACCAAATAAAAGTAATCTATAAAGTATTATCTTGTTCTAAAAGTCTGTAATCTTTGATGACTACACGGGCATCTAGAGATCTTTTTAAATTATGTGCAGCAGGTAACCGTATCTTAGTGCAAAATAAAACTGGTATTTTTGAGTGAGAAAATTCATTAAGAGTCATAGAAGTTTTAGAACAGTGATTCCTAATAATTTCGTTACCAATTTATGTCTTTGTTATTTTCACCATTTGCCTCTATGTTTTAACGATTTTTGGTCTATTAAATCTCATTCAATAAGCACCAATTTCTTTTTAAAAAAATTTTAATACAAAAAATATGACTGCCTATCAGAATGTGTGGTGAATGCTAAATAACAGAATTCTAGATAAATCAAAGGAACTTGACCTCCCCAATTTTCCCACCCTTCCTTTGATGTTGCTATTGTTTGTATTCTCTGCTTGAGATCCTTATTTTTATTCAGTAATCTTTCTCCAAATCAAATAAAGATTAAAACCCTAAAGCTTTCCCTTAACTAGCAGAAATTCATTAGTGAAAGAATGTAAAATGTAAAGAGTAATTCATTCTATAAAGAGTCATTTACTGGGAGAATTCTGGGAAGACGGCAGTAAAGTATCAGGACTCTGTCTCTCCACCTAGATAACAATTGCACTGGCAGAATGTGTCTAAAGCAGTGATTTTCAAACAGTGTGCCGGGGCACGCACACTGATGTGCCACAAGAATTTTTAAACCATTCAATACCTGACTATTTAGTCAGGGACACTTGACTTCTTTTCCCTTAGATTGTTAAATTAAAAATAATGACAACAGTCAATACAACAACAGTCATCTGGTGTGAATGAATCAAAACTATATATATTTACACACTTTTTCTGAGTGGCAAAAATATATTTTTTGGTGTGCCATGGCATTTTAGTAATTAGTTTATGTGTACCATGAGATGAAGAAGGTTGGAAATCGCTGGTCTCCCATAACTATTTTGGAACTCTGGACTATATTGAAGGCCTTCAACTTACCAGGGAAGGCTTAGCCTTAGACCATAAATTGTGGTTAATTTTAGTCAATTTCAGCTCTTAGCAGAGTAGTAGCCACCTATTCTTCACCCCTGACCCATGTGACAGGCAGCTATGCATGTGTATTGATCACTGATTGGTGCTTCTGATCACAGAGGTGCACAGAGAAAGACAGGCAGTCATTGTTGTTGTACCTCCCCCATGATTGCAAGCCTCTTCCCCTTTGGTTGACTGTATTCCAAGGGATTTAAAGAGCCAGCATTCTTCTGCCCTGGCAAGTGTGGCTGAGTTGGCTGGGCATCATACTGTGCACTGAAAGGTTGCTGGTTCGATTGCAGGTCAGGGCACATGCCCAGGTTGCAGGCTTGATCCCCAGAAGGGGGTGTGTAGGAGGCAGCCAATTGATGTTTCTCTCTATATATTTCCCCTCTCTCTCTCTAAAGTCAATAAAAAAACCATTAAAAAAAGATAAAAAGAGGCATCACGCTTCTTATTGCTTCCCCTTTTACTTTGTCATTTTCCCCTTTTCGGAGCCAGATATGAACAAGTAGAACACTCAAAAACAACTATGTATAAGGGGAAAATTTAAAAGTGACAGTGCACACCCAGAGAAAGGCTCAGAATAGACTTGAGAAGACCTTAAGTTTACACTTCAAGCTGAACCTCAATACAGAGATAACCTGCAGCAATAAAAACACAACACAACACAACACAACAAAACACAACACAACAAAACAATAACCAAACCTAGCAAACCCTGAGGTAGGAAAATAATTTGATTCCCAGAGTTACCACATTATTAGGTTCAAATGTCCAGTTTCAAACAAAAATTCACAGAAAGGTGTGGTTCATTCAAAGAGAAAACAATCAATAGAAACGGTCCCTGAAATAGAATCTACTAGAAGCTGGGAGAATACTCAGAAAGGTCAGGAGGGACCCAGACTTTGATTCCACACCAAGGATTATCTTAATGCTCTTTCACTTATACCCCAAAGCCAAACAACATCCTCACCTCCACACAGGACAATTAAAATATTTAGCCTTTTTAGCTTTATATTGTGTATTCAAATAAGAGGAATTAATGATATAGGACAAGACACCATAAAGTAGAGCCTCAAAGCCACAAAAACAAGTATATACATATATTTGAAAAGTCTATCAAATCGAGGCCTTCTTTGTACTATGTTGAAGACATTTTAAAACATAAATCATGCACAGAAATGGAATAGTACCAAATACAATATGCTCTCATCTGATGAGACTTTCAAGTTTCTAGTTTTACTACTTTATAAGATGCAGGTCAATATTTAGACACAAAGAGGACTGCGAGAATTATCAAATGTATCAAAGCAATCTGCGGTGTGGGGCTAGTTTTAGTTATGATGATAGCAAAAACAACAGCTTTAAAAGGCATTAAGTACAGATTAGATAATATTTAAGATCTTACGTAAATGTGTTTAATTTGCTGCATTCCAAGAAAAGTTTATGACTTGTTGATAAGAGGAAAGATTTTAAAAAAAGAAAGAAGATAGGAGGAAAGAGAAGAAAGTTTGATATGTTTCTTCAAAGTGTAACATTTAATTTTAAACCTCTATGTCTTCTTGTTTTTTCTATGACTGACATTTTTCAAGGCTTACAGCACATAGCATTGATATTCTGTTAAAAGTACAATTCTTCAGTATGATAAAAAGATTTTTATACATTGCTAAAGTGATCTGTGCCCACTATTAAATCTTGCCAATAACTTAAGTCCAGAAATAAAGTAAAACTAAAATACAAATGCTCCTTGTCTGAAATTTTATTCACTTTAGAACTAACTCTTTCCTTGGCTTTAAAAAGAAACACCACAGCCCATAAATTCTGCTTTGTATTAATGTCCTTTGGGGGACCAAGAGGCTTTGGACAAAGTCTTGCACAAACTTGTTCAAAATTCATAAATCTTATGCAGATAATGTCAAAATGTTCTTTTTAAAAGATAAGTAAAGTTAAACTATAAATGCTCAAAATGTTAGTGTTCCATTTTTGGCTTAAACACACACACACACACACACACACACACAGGACATTCCCTATGGAATATTACCTAACCCATTTATAAGCTAAAGCATGTAATGGAAGAAAATCAAGTGATACAATTTTTCAATAAATTAACTTCCCTTTTAAAGTTTCCCTTGTAACTGATCTCATTTTGTAGCTCATATATTTTTCCTCTTAGCTCTTTTAGCTTTTCTATAGCCATGATAATTTAGTGTTTCTCCTGATGTTTTATGCTTTCTCTTATTTTTTTAAATCCTCACCCCAGGAAAAGGTTTTTATTAATGAGAGAGAGAGAGAGAGAGAGAGAGAGAGAGAGAGAGAGAGAGAGAGAGAGAGAGAAACACTGATGTGAAAGAGAAACAATCAGTTGCCTCTTGTACATGCCCTGACTGAAAGTCAAACCCAGGACACTTTAGTGCACAGGATGACACTCTAGTCAATTGAGCCACCAGCCAGGGCTCTTCTCTTATTTTTCATAATTCTCTTAGTTCTTTCAGCTTCTTAATCATGGTCTTATTACTTTTTTGGGGGCTTACCAATCTGTCAATATTATGTAGGCAGTAGGGTACCTTGAAATATTATACAAGCTATACCTAATCCACAATATGTTTCACTGTGACAACACATTCATAATTCACATTATGACATCTCCATAAGAGAGATTTGGGTAAGTGCTGTGAAAAGATGTTACAATGAGTGCAGAAGACACAGCTAAGTGCATTATGTATGGCGAGAACAACAGCTCGCAGGAGCAGCTGGCCCAGATTCTCTTTTGCAGCCTGTGCTACTACATGGCAACTGTGAAATTTCATTCAGGGAAACTTCTGGGCTAAAGGAGCTTAAGGTATGACAATCTTTTAAAACAATAATCCATTGCTTTTTATCTTAGAAAAATGACGCTAAATAAAATTACCATGAAATCATATTAAAAGAAATGCTTGATTCCATCAAAATGAGGGATTTTGGAGAGCAGCCACAGCCCAGCGTGCCTCTGGCCTCATTATGCGATCAGAGCTCTCATGAAGCACATATCTGAGCACCTAAGAGCAAAGGGTTCACAGTATGATGGCTACACAAAACCAAAAATAAACCTCTGGAGTAATCCATTATCATTTTTCATTTCTTATGTGTATGTACTACTTTTAAAAAGTAATATACCTATGCCTCCAATATTTTCTGCAACCAAGCTCTTTAAAAGACCTACTTTTTAAAGTTTT